TACGCCAGTTACAAAAAAATGGTTAAGACAAGAATTGTAGAGGACAACGAGGTCATTTTACCGTGCTAATAATTTTGACCTTCAGATCGATTTTCGAGGTCATTCGAAGGTCAAAGTCATTTTTTTAAATTAGAACTCCTATTTTTGACACCGGATTCGAAAAGAGCAGAAAATTTTACGTTAAAAATGATATTTAGATTTTTTTTTCTAAGTCCAAGAAAGTCAAATCAAGAACTTAAAAGATGTTAATTCAACTTTTAGCGTTACCCGGAAACAACGACGTGGACGTAGTAAGTTCTGTTTCTTTTGAGGTGCTTGATTATCGTAAATCCCCACGATTCGACCTTGAAATGATCTTTAAAGGTCATTTCGACTCTTAACATAACTTTAAAGCTTCTATTTAAACAATTCGATTTGACCTTCAAATGACTTTGAAAGTCAAGGTCAAGGTGAAATTGGAGGTCACAATCCGATGTCCCCCTCTGAACCCAACAACTTTTGTAAGAGTTATTTGGGTTGGTGGCTCCCCGACAAGATATGTATTCAGGTTGCGTAATTTCAAATATTTTATCCTTGAAATAACCTTTGAAGGTCATTTCAAAGAAGAGCCTCAAGTACCCATCTAAGCGTAAAATTTGCGCTCTTTCTGAATCCGGGGTCAAAAATAGAGGTTTCTATTTAAAAATTCGATTTGACCTTCAAATGACCTTGAAGATCAAGGTCAAGGTGAAATTGAAAATCACCATCCGATGTCCCCCTCCGAACCCAACAACTTTTGTAAGGGTTATTTTCGAATTGGTGGCTCCCTTGACGAGATATTCAGGTGCGTAATTTAAAATGGGACATCCTATATATATGTAGGGGTCGAGCCTCGCGCGCCGCTGCCGGCGGCGCCATCTCTCGTGAGCGGAGCGAACCGCAGGAAGCAGCAACTCCTGCCGCGACCAGTCTTCTGAGACGCCGCGGTGGCTGCCTGGAGCCACCGGCGTGACATGCGCCGGCGAGCTCAACGCCGGCCTATCGGAACCGTACACGAGACCCCACGTAACGCACCCACGTTACCACCCACGTTAGGTGCCACGCGGCACGTTATACAGAGAGGACGAGACGACGACGAGAGAGACGTTGGGCACACACAGCAGCATCGGGACGTTCTCTTCTCCACGACTGATTATCGCGCCCGAGACGCACGGACTCTCGTGACCGCCACCCGGTTCACTTCGACGCGCCCAGCCCTCTCGGCACTACGTGCGGACTCGGTCGGCGACGACGTCGGTGCCGTTCCGTCGGCTGCGACGACGGGCGGCTCTCTCGCGCTAGTCTTCGCGCCGTCTCTTAGATCCGTTGGGACGGCCATTTTGTGTTTCTTTCGTGTAACGACTTCTGTGATAAAACCGTGTTTAGATCATTAATCGATCTTCGTTTTTCGCAGTCATTTTATGACCTTCACACTATCTGTGCCTCTTCCCTAAGTCCACCTCCACACATATATATATATATATATATATATATATATATATATATATA